ACACACATATATATATATATATATATATATATATACATATATATATACACATATATATATATAGGCAACACGGTGGCACAACTGGTAGAGTTGCTGCCTCTCAGCAAGCAGGTCCTTGGTTCATACCCCGGTCCAGGGGTCTTTCTGGGTGGAGTTTGCATGTTCTCTCCGTGCATGCGTGGGTTTTCTCCGGGTACTCCGGTTTCTTCCCACAGACCAAAAACATGCATGTTAGGCTGATTGGTAACTCTAAATTGTCCCTAGGTGTGAATGGTTGTTTGTCTCGTTTGTCTCTATGTGTCCCTGTGATGGACTTGCAACCCGTCCAGGGTGTACCCCGCCCCTCGCACAGTGATTGCTGGACATGGGCACCGGTGACCCCCGTGACCCAAAATGGAATAAACGGGTAAAGGTAATGGATGGATGATATCTATCTGTCTGTCTGTCTGTCTGTCTGTCTGTCTGTCTGTCTGTCTGTCTGTCTGTCTGTCTGCCTCTCTGTCTGCCTCTCTCTCTCTCTCTCTCTCTCTCTCTCTCTCTCTCTCTCTCTCTCTATATATATATATATATATATATATATATATATATATATATATATATATATGTATGTATATATTTACTATGTTCCTGTGTCAAATAAGCACGAGATCCTGAACTGTTCAACAAACATTTTGTTGCTTCTAGTTCTTTATTTGACACAGTTACTAATGGAAAATCAGCCACTTCACTTAATAACCAAACTTCTACAAATCAAATCCCTCCTATAAGTCAATTCTCATTTAATCACACCTTCTCTTTTTCTCCGTTCTCAGTTAGTGAGGTTAATAAAATGTTAAAAAGCCTTGATCCTAAAAAATTTGCAGGACTAGATGAACTGCCACCTTATTTCTTAAGGCTGGCCGCTCATATCATTACAGTCCCTGTGACCCACATCTTTAACCTGTCCATAAGCTGCGAAAGCTAGAGTGGTCTTGACGACTGGCCATTACAGCTGGTCGGGAGCTGCTGCTCCATACTGTTTTAGTCTCTCACCTACTTCCTCATACACCTTCCTCAGCTCCTCTATTGACTGTGCCTCTGTATTTGCATTTGCACAAATGTCTGTTTGGTTTTTGGGAGGTGCTGATGGTTCTGGTAGCATATTTGATGAATGGGGAGGGGACATGTGGGACGATGCAACTCCAGAGGGGGAGTTAACTGTTCTGATTTGAATGGCTTGGCTGATTAAGTCGTCTAAAGACAGTGGCTCATGCCTTCATCATCAAGTTCTAGGAGAGTCTCTGACTGGATGTAGGAGGTGATGTAGTTAATGCAACTGTCTTTATCATCCTGGTTGATTTATGCTGTGTCCCCACTGTCCACAGTTAAGCTCTTTGCTAGTTCAAAAAGTTGGGTGTCTGAGAGTGTGAACAAGCACCCCCTGATGCTCTATGCAAGTTCCTTCCATGCAGTTGACATGTCTGTATTCCCTGATGTAACTCTCAGTGACTAGAGTATGTTGTCCGTCTGTTGCAGCAGTGCGGCTCCTTGACGAGGCATAGATCCTTTCCACCTTGATCTTCCTCCGTAGACACTCACTGGCTTGCTTGACTGACATAATATCTAGGTCATGGCCATCTTGTGGTTCTGTGATCATTGGATCTGTCCCTTTAAGACTGAAGGGGAGGGATCCCGGACGAGCCCCCAAAAATTTGTTGCGGGCCCCGGCTGGCACGGTGACCTCCATAACAAAGATGATATCTGTAAAATAAATGTAGTGTGTAAGAACAGGAACCACAGCGACACTCGTGTCTTTTCTCCAGACTGCATATGAACGTGAGCTAGAAGTTGCCATGAAATAAGCGGTCGGGGCGGGTGCGAGGACCCCAAAGGTTCTGCTCCTCCACAAATTTAATTAAACAGGACTACATCTCTGAAATTAGCAGTCATGAATCCCATATTCTTTACGTTATAAAAAGGAAACTTAAATGACATTAAAACTTTTATGAAATAATATTGATGTAGTTACATCATTTGGGTGTACCACACTACAATCAAATGTTTTAGGTCAGAAGGCCAACTTGCTACTCACAAAAACAGCTTGAGGACAACGAGGCCAAAGTGCCAAAGTTCATGGTCATTAATCCAGGTCAAGGCCAAAGTGGTTCAGAAAAAGGATTGTAAGCTCAATCATCCAATTAGATAACAACAAAAAAATGTTAAATCTTGTCATCTGGACCAGTTTCTGAAGCTGAAAGAAGAAGAAACAGAAGATGAATTCAAAAAGCGTTCAATACAAAAACATAAAACAAAAAATACAAAAACAGAAGATGCAAGCAGAAAACAAAACATTCTTTGTTATATGATATCATGATCGGCCATCAGATGTGTTGAACCCACGTGCAGGAGGATAACAGGAGGCTCAAGGTAGAGATTAAAACATAAATTTATTTACAAACAAAATCAAATTCTGACTGAGCAGCTAAACTCACTGTGACTGGAAGACAAGATGGAGGAAGATCATATCACCATGAGAGGACAATCTGGAGACAATGACAAGCCACAAGGGAGCTGAATAGACTGACACCTGCAGTGATTGACATTGAACACAGGTGAGATGAGGGCTGAACACAAGGTGGGAAAACACTGACAGATGACTGAAAACATGAGGAAACAGGCAAAGACAGGACAAAACCCAGAACCCCTACATATGAAGTTAGCCAACAAGGATTGCTCCTAAAATAAATTTTGCTAAAGAAAATTGATAGATGGCATTAAGTAGACCCGTCAAATCATCTTAACCTGCCAAGAGGTGTAAACATGGCTCACCTGAAACAATGGCTTTGATTTTTTCACAATCATTCTATCCATCCATCCATCCATCCATCCAGTATCTTTACCCACTTCTTCCTTTTTGGGATGCATATTTAATAATTCTGCACCTGCTCATCATCCATCAGTAAACATATTGTCAAAAGATGGAAAACTCTGGCAGGGGCAGTGGGCAGAAAATGAGTGAAAAAGCAGTCCAAGTCCAAAGACAGACTAAATAAAAACTGCATGCCTGAACAGAGCTATAAAATTGCAGCCAATCATCTCGCCTCTTAAATCATAAAGGGCGGGGCTTATTTCTTTATCCTTTTCTGATTGGTCAGTTGCGCCCCGCAACAAATTCCTGTGTGTTTTCTGGATTCGCGGTCCTCCGGCGCGGGTACAACCCAGAAGAGGAGGTGCGTGGCGTGCGTAAAAAAAAAGGACGTGACGTCACGTGACCGCCTCTGACTCCCAAACCATCATCTGAGGAATAACGGGACATATTTGTCCGAACAGCGGCCTGTTAGGCGCTTCCCACCGGACGTCTTTTAACGCGGATAAAACCATAGGATGCTGTTTAAACGGGCGGAAGGATTTTAACAACAATCTCGGACTGAACGGGAGGTAAGTCGTTCAGTGGTTTTTTTTTTTTTTCATTCATTGTTGACCAGTTCGAGATGGAGACAACAAACATATATTTTAAAAAGCGGTTTGTTGTGAAACCTCTAAATGTGTTATTTGACGTGGGGAAGAAGAGGGAGGCTCGGTGACTCACAGGCTGAAGGACGCTCTCCATCCTTCAGCCTGATCACGATGCACCGTATCCTCCCGCTGCTGCATCACCGCCGAAACGTATTTTCCACATCCAGAGCATCAGTCAACACGGAATACACCACCAGGGCTTTGTGTATGTACAAGGAAGACAAAAATGTCCTTCAAACTCCACCGTACATCCACCATGATGCACAGCAGGGAGGAGGCCAACGTGCTTGTTTATCAGTCAGCTGAATTATATAGTCTAATTTATAAACCCAGCCGCCATGCAACATGAATATTTCCTCCCATATATTTAAAGGGGCATGACAAGGCCAGACATATAGAGCACACTCTGATATGTTTAATATCATGTTTATCATAGCTGATTTAACAAATGATGGGCTCAGCTTCTTTAATAAAAGCCCATCAGGTTAAAAACAAGTTATGTTATGTCAGTGCTGATCAGTGAGGCCTATAATGGGTCTGAAGGAGTATTCCCTATAAATCATATATGTCAAACTCAAGGCCCGGGGGCCAAATGTGGCCTTCGTTGACATCTTCTCTGGTCCCCAAGATGTTATTTTAAATGTAAAATACTTTTATCACTTAATTTTTTTCAGTAATCTTTGATTATGATGTCAAAAGTGCAACAGAGAACATCAAATGCGACCAATCAAACTCTTGTTGAGGAGCCTGCAACCAAGAAAAGATGTTGGGTATCTAACTTGAGTTAATGTAGATTCTGAAACTGGCCCTTAGTTTGAAAAAGGTTTGAATTTGGGCCCTTTTGTAATTGACACCTCTGTTCTAAATCAATGGTGCCCAGTCCTGGTACTCCTGTATGCTTTAGATGCTTCTCAGTTTTGACACACCTGATCAATAGACCTTTTTCACGACAACCGGAAGTAGCGTCTCATGGTGCTGGGTTACTTCCGGCTTTCGCGAGTCTATGCAAATGTCGGGCTTTTCTTTCGCTGATGTGGAGGAAATCGCAGCGGTGAATTCTTGAACCAATAAACTTGAGAAAGGATCTCAGTTCTTCCATGAAGAATATATCCACAGCTATCAAGGTAAGAAAAGACGTCGCTTAGCGAGCTAATCGTTAGCTACAACATATGAAGTACATAAACATCGTAATAAAGCCTAATTTAGTGTGCTAATTATTTGGAATATTTGTTTATTTGAGACAGACGTGGTATAAACTTTTAAATGATATTTTAACATCCAGATATGTGTTTGTTATTAAAATTTGTGAAAGAAAACGTACTAGATGTTAGTTATAAGATGCTATGATGCTTGATGTTCAAATTGTGCTTTACTTCTGCATAACTACAGGTCAAGTATTGTCGAGGGACAGGTAGTTGTCTAGATACTTTATTTATGACAGCTGAAGAACTTTGACGTACGATGGACAACTTCTGTACTGAGAGCTTACAGTAACATCTCCCTGCTCAGTGGTTAGTTTGTCTTCTGTTGTTGAGCAGCATAGTCTGTTTTGTTCTGCTGCTGTTTCAGCTCATCTTCAAACTAGAATCTATTACTTGTTTAAAGCCAAATATGTTATAACGAGTATTATATGTATGTGCTAAAAACAGTTATGTTTTAGATCTCACTGGGTGACAGCAGGAGAAAAACTACTTTGTACGTCAGCTGAAATCCCAACCACTTATCGCTCGTCCTAACTTTGGCGCTGGTACCATCCAGATGTGGTCCTGTGCCACAAGGCTCACAGATGTTTTACCAGTGCCCACCTGAGAAGTCCTGCGTAGCGTCATTCTGCACCACATGGCTCCACACTTCCCTGCTCTTCTGCTGATGCTGCAGTCTTCCCAACATGTTTTGTGTCCACACTTCACATCTTCAGTCTCTGCAAGTGTCACTGGAAACGTCTTCTCAGAGGCCAGAACCAGGGAGCAGTCCAGATGTTCTGCAGGGGCACAGCTTCGACTTACTGCTGTTTCCGTGTTGCAGAAGATGTGTGGAGTCTGCTGACATGTTTTACTTCAACACCTTCATCCATGTGTTTATATCAATGCAGTAAGAATCATAAAATGTACAAATCACACTTTTGTTCCTTCACATTTTTAATATTCAGTCTCAAGTTGTGAATCACTGTAAATACTGTAAATAGTTGTTACTCATGAAAAATACATAAATGTGCCAATTTCTTTAAAATGAAATTGCATAATTTGGGAAAAAAAAATCTATAATCCACTATCAATTTATAGTGTACAGTTAAAATGTTAAATAGTTAAGTTTTTTTTTGTTTTTACTAGATATTGTAAATTACACTTGTTTTCCTTTCAATACAACTGAATCAATCCACAAATTAAATAAAAAAACTGTACAGTATGCTGCTCAAGTGTGTTTTAATTGAAGAATGTTTAAAATAATTCAAAACCTTTAAACAACTAATTACATAACACTAGAACAATATGTAACAAGCTTGGGTATGGATGTTATTTTTATTTTATAAACTTACTGCAACAATTAGGACTTTCATCCAAGGACATAATTTATACACAGAAAAGACACTTGGGTTTGTCTACAAGTAAGCAGGAGACTGTTCCAAGATACAATATACATTTTATTAACACTAAGTTAAAAACTTATTCTTATTGGAGGCAATAATGATTCTTAAAATAAATATTCAGCCAAGGCTGAGGCTTTCCAGTGTTCAATCAACTAAAAGACAAATGGATGGTTCAAGGTAACACATGAGCAGAAATTCACCCACAAGCTGATGCACGAGACACGAGTGGAACGGAACCTACACGAGACTGGACTGCCACCTTCAACCTGGAACATAAATACTAAATTAAGTAAACAAAAATAAACATGAATCATAATCATATATAGGAATTACAAAACAAACAAACATAGGCCTCACATTCACATATAAAAATAGTTGAAAATGGCTCCAGCCTTTAGTTCAGCCAATCTTCTCTCAGGTAAGACACTGACTAATTATGGTGACTCAAGCAGGAGTGAGAGTCCACCAACACAGGACTGAGCAGAATGAGGACAGCTGGGAGTTCACCTGTAAAACCACAAAATAAAATACGATTAGCAAGATTGTTTCAATTATTGAGCTTATTGACATTATTATTATTATTGATGACATTATTTCTGTGAAGATCAATACATTTTGTGAGTCAGTGCATGTAACTTGATCTCACTATGACTTACATGACAAGTTTATAATGTACCATCTTACTGTGATATTTACCTGTGGGTGGATGTGCCACCAGGTGAAGTGAGTTTCACGTGGACAGCAGCTTCAGCCTGGCTAGCTTTCTGTGAGAGGACAAGCTGCTGTTTCTGAGCTCTCTAAAAGCAGACTCCCTCTTAGCTGGTGCGGTGAAATTATTCCAGGTGAAGAGAAAGAAACAGCTCAACCTTTAATGCAGCTGGTGGTAGCTCTGTGGCCAAAATCCTCCTGAGTGAAATGCAGCTACATACAAGTGCTCCCTGGCTTTATGCAGAAGTTGTGACCATCATCTCCTCTGATCGCTTGGATCCACTGCCTCCTTTGGTCTGGGTACGTCGTGAAAAGCATGGTAGGACAGAAATGGTTGTTTTCTTGCCCCACAAGAACAACCAGGACCTGAACAAAAGAAACCGCTCCGAGACTGAGACGTTTCCCTCACTGTCTAATGCTAACGCTATAGCCACTGGAAGTTGTTTAACACCACATCCGCTTTAAAACCCAGAAGCATGAAAAAGGTCTATTAAGAGGCTTCCGCAGAACTGGAAGACAAGCTACAGAGCAGGGAAACTACCAACAAGTGCATGATAGTGTCCCTTGAAGACCAGCTCTGTGCCTTAACTGCTTATTATTATCTGCTCTCCCCACACAGTTTGGGCTTTAAGGCAGCAGAGACAGACGTTTGAGCTCCTGTTTGCAAGTGAAGGAGACCACCGAGCAGCAATCATGGCCGGTAAGCTTTACCTTGCTGTTTTTCTTCAGTTTGTTGTCAAGTTTAAGCTCGTTGAAGTCTCTTTTAAATGTCTTTGTGACTTTGGTGTTGAATTCTCTTTCTGCGTGCTAGAAAACAACTTCCCTCCCCTGCCACGGTTCATCCCCCTCAAGCCATGCTTCTACCAAGACTTCAATGAAATCCCAGACCAGCGACGCACCATGTGCAAGAGGCTCTACTACCTCTGGCTCTGTGAGTGCTCCTGCAGGGAAACGCCTGCATGTTGAAGAATGATAAATGATTCAGGTCTCTCTTGTCAATGAGTCCCCGAGGTTCAATGGGATTAACCTGTATAAGTAAAGGTTGAATAAAAGAATGTCACAGCTGCTGTAGTTAGAGTGAGTGGTGCTTATGTTGCTCACCACGTACAGCCACGCTGGGATTTTATGTGACAAACCAACAAAAAGTACACTGTTGTGAAGTGGGAGGAAAATTATGTGTGGTTTCCAAAATGAACACAAATGCACGCCACATTTTGTTGATTTTTATTTGCAAAAAGTTTTGAAAATCTTTTTCTATCCACTACGCAATACAACAAGCCTAAACTAGTTTTGTCCAAAATTTGTGACTTGTGTCTAGTTTTTGTTTATTATCACGTAAGTCCTTTGAAAACAAGAACGTAAGTCCAGTGACCAAGTGATTTATTGTCACTTTTGGTTCTAGTAAAGTGGAACTAGAAAATTAAATATTTAACAAACTGTAGCTGCAGTTCAAATTGTGTTTATCGCGTTATAGAGATGAAATGTTAGTACTTAAGTATGGCAGCTCTCCTTTGAATTCAAATTTGTCAGAATCATCTTTATAGTCATTGCACAGAAACACAGCAAAATTACATTTCAGACAGTCGTCCCAAGAGAAAACAAACATGGGTAGACGGAAATGCCTGAGGCCGCAGCCTCGTGGGAATCACCGCCCTTTCCATTTAGAAAAGGAAAAGAGAAAACATGAGGAAAGAGTAGGAAAAAAAATAAAAAAATCTCACACTGTGTCCCGTAAAGCAGTGGTCCTCAACCCCCGGGCCGTGGACCGGTACTGGTCTGTGGGTCAGTGGGTAATGGGCCGCACAGAAGGGGAAAAAATGTTTTATTTAGAAAAATCACCAGATTCTCTCTACCACATCAGTCTATGCAATTCACTCCTGTTTGGTATCAGTCAGACCTCCATTGCACGACTACAACTGGTCCAGAATGCAGCAGCCCGATTTTTAACCAGTACAGGTAAAAGAGAGCACATTACACCAGTTTTGGCCTCACTGCACTGGTTACCGGTTCACCTTCGAATCCAGTTCAAAATACTCATGTATGTCTACAAATCGCTGAACAGTTTCGCCCCGTTCCCTGAGGTCAGCGGACCAGTTGCTCCTCACAGTTCAAGGAACTCGTCTTAAGCGCAGAGGTGACAGGGCCTTCTCTGTAGCAGGACCAAGACTTTGGAACGAGTTACCTCTGCTTGTCAGACAGGCCCCCTCCCTCTCGGTTTTCAAATCCCGTTTAAAAACTCACTACTATTCAGTAGCTTTCAACACCAGATGATCTGTGTTTTGAACCTGTACGCTCCGCACTGGTTTGTCGTCATATTTATTATCTGCATCACAAAATTGCCTGCCTGACAAAGATCGACTATAAAACTATAACTAAATAAAACTATAATTTTAACAAGCTTCCTAATATCACATCAGAGCTGTCGCTTCACATTTTTGCTTCTGCTCAAAAAAATCTCTGCCCTTAAAAATTCAAAGTCATGGGTAATTTTATTATAACTCACAAAAATAAAATTAAATGTTTTGCACTAGGCACACGTTTCTGTGCTTTTGTGAACAATCTGATGTGTGGATCCCTGCAGGAGTTATCTGAACTTTCACCGAACTGATGAAACAGACGATCTCAGCTCATGAAGCTGTTTGTCGTGCAGTCAGAGTATTTGAAACAAAAAATGTTTTAAAAGTTTGTAAAATGCACCAGAATGCAGGAAATGGCATCTACTTTATTCAATATTCTGTTGGGAAGGACCCCCAGACCACGCCGCCCCCGCCCCCCATCCGTGAAAATATTGTCTAACATCAATAAAGTCCACGCTCAATAGTCCAGGTATACAATCCAACATTTTTCAGTCAGGTCATCTGGACAGTTTCTTTTTTTTGTGCTGAAACGTTTCGCCTTTGATCCAGAAGTTTGTGATAAGATAGTCTCTTTGGTAACTGTCCAGATGATCTGACTGAGGAATGTTGGATTGTATACCTGGATTATTGAGCATGGACTTTGTTGTTTTCAACCAGTTTGACACGATTGTCAACAAGGAAGAGGGCTGGCAATGGAGGACGGGGCGTACCAAAGAGACCATCTTATCACCAACATAACTGGTTTGTTCCACTTGGAGTAAGCTGTTGGGGGAAGAATCAGTTTTGTTGTGTGTTTCCTTGACTGATGAAGCCTTCTGGATCAAAGGCGAAACGTTTCAGCACAAAAAAAGAAACTGTCCAGATGACCTGACTGAAAAATGTTGGATTGTCTGACATCAAACTGGTCCGTGGCGCATGGGTTGTGGACCACTGGCATAAAGGACACAGTGTGAGGTTGCAAAAAAACCTCAGCACAAGAAAAGGCAACATGAAGGCACGCAGGACAAAGAGCAGGGGAAGGAGTGACAGTTAAAACGTTTCCCTCTTCGCCGAGAGCAAGAAGGAAAAATAAAAGTTATTATTTCAATATTATCTTATCATTATTGCACTTCACAAAATACTAATTATTGCTTTTGTTTAATTTAAAAAAAAAATAATAACCCCTCTGATATAAATTACTTGTATGGAAACTTTATATCAATCAAATTAATATTTGTGACCAAAACAACAGCTCTTCAGTTTTAAATAACGTCTGTTTTCTCCCAATTTTACTTTACAACTAAAATGTTTATTAAATGCTGTGTTTGTAGCTGTATCTTATCTAGAAATTGGATGATTGAAAACCAAATGTTGTGAATATTTTGATGTTTCTAATTGTTGAAATAACTTTAAAATTACGGTAACATTTACTTCCATTGCAGATCCATACAAATAAAAGGTTTTATCATTAGATTTGTTAGGATTTTTGTGTTATCATAGCGGGTGTTCATGTATTTGATGACAGGAGTGTTGATCAGTATTATCCAAACTGTGGGCATTCCTGGCTGGGGCGTCTGGTAAGAGCTTTCAGAGTTGATTCAGTGCAACACACGCTGTATGTGTTATGATGATGGCTGTACGCTGCACTTTATTGAAAGTGTGTGTGTGTGTCCTCTTCATCTTGTTCATGTGAACTTCATTATTAAATAAGAAACTGCTTTTAATCTGTAGAAGTGGAAACTTCGTCAAACTAAAGAAACCTTTGACATTGTAACAGAAATCCATACGATCATCAAATCGTAGGTTATCTCTTAAATAAACTTTACATCCAGTGAAAAGATCAAAAACCAGTCACTGAAAAACAAATATATAAATTGTGGAATATTAAAAATATTTTATGAGTGCTGTGACCAGTGAGAAGATTAAGATAAAAAGATTTAAAAGGTAGTTTGTGAGAATAAAGCTTTCAAAAAGTTTTAAGTTCAATTTTTCTAAATCTATAGGAAATGTTTTTCAGTCAAGACCAGATAATTTGCAAAGATGATAAAATTATTTACTTATAAATAAAAGAATCAAACATTTGTGGTAAACAACACTATAATCCTATCTATCAACCAATTTTTCTCTCCAAAAACAAGATTTTTACATTAATCTAGTTTCCATAAATCTTGAGAGCTGGAGCTCTATTTTTCTGTGGATGTAAACTCCTGACACGTTTTGGTCCAAAAGTTGTTCATTCTGAGATCAAACTGGATGAACTGTGCCCATTTTCTCACAATTTGGTGCCTCCAACTATTTGTTTTATTTTATTTAACCTTTATTCATACAGGTAGTCTCATTGAGTCACGAGAACTCATTTTCAAGAGCAACAAAGTTCATGCTCAATCACGCAGGTACGAAATCCAAACTGTCCAGATGACCTGACTGAGCATTATTGGATTTGGTACCTGGATGATTGAGCATGAACTTTGTTGCCTTGAACCACTTTGGCTGCCTGCCTGGGAGGAGTTGACAGGGGACAGGACGTCCCCCAGAAACCATCTTATCTCCAGCAAACTGGTTAGTCCCTTAAGAAGTTTACTGCTTGGTGGGGAAACAGTTTACTTGGAACTCCTCAGACTGACGAAGCTCTCCGGATAGAGGGTGAAACGTCTCTACAAAAAAGAAACTGTCCAAATTCATTTTCAAGAGAGACCTGTATGGGAGCAGGGTTAGGGGCCTTTCTCAGTGGCACAGAGTGGGGCAAATGAGGGTGGAGGCAGGTGTTTCACATTTTCCACACACATTTTGTAGTGGTCGGTCCTGGGAGTTGAACCGGCGACCTTCTGATCACTGGCCCACCTTCTCTAACCTCTGCACCACCTCTCCCTAGTAATCTAAGGATTACTAGAATTACTAAGGATCACTCCCTAACTGGTCCCCAGTGAGATTCTACCTTTCCAGGGCATTCACCTTTTTGTTTCCAGTCTTAAATCATGGCGTCTTTTCTGCTCCTTCTTGGTGACAGTGAACACTGCCACGCTCGCTGTGAATCTCATCGGCTGCCTGGCGTGGATGTGTGGAGGTGGAGGAGCCATTAACTTCGGCCTGGCCTTCCTCTGGCTCATCCTCTTCACTCCTTGTTCCTATGTTTGCTGGTTTAGACCCATCTATAAGGCGTTTAAGTAAGCACTTTCACCCTCGCGCGCACGCACACACACACACACGCACGCACGCACACACACACACACACACACACACACACACACACACACACACACGCACACACGCACACACACACACACACACACACAGGTTTGTTTTGCTATCTTTGTGGGGCCTTTGCATTGACTTCCATTCATTTCTCATTCATTTCTATAGCCTAACCATGACCTTTATCCATAACCTAACCATTACCAGTACATACCTAACCCTAAACCTAACACATCCTCAATTCACACCTTAGTCCTAAACCTAGCCCCTAACCCACCAACGGGACTTCTTATGGGGCCCGGGCTTTGGGCCCCATAAGGAGCAGTTGGTCCTCACAATGTAGTATAAGTTGGAAAAATGGGCCTCACAAAGTAGCATAAACAAGGACACACACACACACACACACCACTTTAATGAATCTGCTGCTCTGTTCAGTCACATACTGAGTCAGTCGTCCCCTCTGTGCAGGACGGACAGCTCCTTCAACTTCATGGCTTTCTTCTTCGTCTTCATGGCTCAGGTGTTGATCAGTATTATCCAAACTGTGGGCATTCCTGGCTGGGGCGTCTGGTAAGAGCTTTCAGAGTTGATTCAGTGCAACACACGCTGTATGTGTTATGATGATGGCTGTACGCTGCACTTTATTGAAAGTGTGTGTGTGTGTGTGTGTGTGTGCATTAGCAAAACATTTTAACAAAACATTTAGAAAGTAATCATTGGATATTTATAGCAGATGAGCTTTTTGTGTCAGCCTTTGTCAAGATGGCCACCACAGCTGTAGCTGTAAATAATTTGGTGTGGTAGTAGCTGAGCATCAACCCGAACTAGAGACGCACCGATCTGATACCAACATCGATATCGGGGGGGAAAAAACCTTCTGGATCGAGTATCGGTGACATTGTGACCGATCCATGACTGGGCAGATCTGTTCACTCTAATTCTATGCTTTGTGCTCTGAGTACTAGCGAACTGACTGAAGAAATTAAAGTTGTGTTGTTTTTACATGCTTGACCGAGCTTGTGAAGCTCTTGGTGTGTTTAAGTGTGCTGTTATGGTGCAGAGTTTTCAATAAATGTGTAATTCAGTACACAAAACAAATAAAAAAAAAATAATTAAAAAATACTTTATTAATTTTTTTAATATTTGTTTTATGTACTGAATGTTTTAAGTTAATTCAGCACTGGGTTTGTAAACTCAATCATCCAGGTAGACAACAAAAATGGCTAAATCATGTCATCTGGACCAGATGACATGATTTAGCCATTTTTGTTAATTCAGCACAGTTTTTCTGTATCGACCGACACTAAACAACAAGCATCGCTATCGGATCGGAAGTGGAAAAAAGTGGATCGGTGCATCCCTAACCCGAACACGTAAAGTACTCCGAGCGCTAACTCATCATGAGATGTTAGTATAAAACTGTTAGGAGTCAACTCTGTCTGCCTGTTAGCAAAATATCTCATGAACCACTGAAACTTTCAGAATGTAATCGTTGAATGTACTTCTGCAAAAATGAGTCAAACCATTACAACATGGTCAGCCAGCTGACTTTAAAACTTGGTACATTTCAGTAAATGTTGCTAATATTTTGTGCTAAAAATTGATGTGGTAGTACTTTGTACCTTAGTCATCCCTAACAAATAATCTGAACAGATTACGCCACATCTCACTTCAAGGTTTGACCAAAACAGCTGTAATTGTCGATTCTCAATATAAAATATTAGTCTAAACCTCTGGGATGAAAGGTGGGGTGTGTGGAATGCTAGGTTTAATTAGCCTTTTTATTTAAAGCTTCAGTTTTGACTAAGGATGCACGATATTATCAGCATGGTATCGGACGATATTAGCGTTAAAGTTAAATATCAGACATCGGCCATTCCATCAAAATAACTCACTGATATAAAAGACGCCGTTTTTGTGTGACACCCCAGTAACTGCAGCGCCAGCACAATGTGACGACGTCATGTGCGCCTACCTGATCTGTTCACAGAGGAGAAGTCAAAATGTACTATGCACTACTACTTATGCACTTTTCACTTGTTGCTTGTGAACAGGTTCAGTTGAGATTTGTGAAAATTTACAAGTTTGCACAGTTTGAGTGTTGTCAGTGTTAGAGAGCGTAAATGTCATGAATAAATTGGACATTAAACATAATCCAAGTTGAAGGGTTACATCATTTTCAGCCCCCTTTGTGGCATCTGCATATCACATCAATATCGGTATCGATATCGACCAAATAAGTTTTAACATATCGGATATCGGCCAAAAATCCAACATTGTGCATCCCTAGTTTTGACAAACATTTGTGTGTTTACAGCCTGTTCATATACTAACACTGAATTTAAAATGATTTGTCCTCAGCGGCTGGTTTGCCACCATCACCTTCTTCAGCACCAACCTCGGCTCAGCTGTGGTCATGCTGATCCCCACCATCATGTTCACCGCGGTGGCCGTGCTCTCCTTCGTCGCCCTTTCAAAGGTGATCGTTTTGTTTATGTTTTTTGTTTCTGGTAAAGCCTAAAAGGATGATTTTGAGTGATTCATCGTATGTGCTGTAATTCTTCAGGTTCATAACTTCTACCGTGGCAGCGGTGGCAGCCTGGGTAAAGCCCAGGAGGAGTGGGCCACGGGGGCCTGGAAGAACCCGCACGTCCAGCAAGCAGCTCAGCAGGCGGCGATGGGAGCTGCACAGGGAGCCATGCAGCAGAACCAGTACTCAGCGGCCCCCACCTACAACTACGACGACCCTATGTAGAACAGACGAGGGGGGGTCTGACAGCAGAGAGCTAAAAAGGGATCAATTAACAAACACAACTCAGAATTAGGTGCCCTTCATTTCACCACAGATGAAATTAAAACAATAAAAGTTAGGGAGGTGGAAGTGTACTTAGAATAAAATTTGACACATTGGATTAAATAACCAGATTAGTCACACTTCTGTCAACAAACCCTAAAGACAAACATGTTTTGCTGCATAATTTTAGTTGTCCAGTGTGGGTTTATATCAAATATCCATATTTTATGCCCAAAATAATAATAATAATTAATTAATAATAATCTCCTGAGCTTCGTCTTCTTCAAGTTCGTTCCTGCATCAACGTCACCAAGCTACGCTTTGTTTTGACGCATTCAACCTCTTATTTTAATAACGCGCAGCTACATAAGTGTTTATTCTTTGTAGCTTCGACGCTAACAAAATGTTAACACATTTGTCCGTTTTTGGTAGACAATTCAGCGAGCAGGTCACTCATGAAAAATGTCAAGGAAACCTTTAAGAAAAACTTCTCCCTCTAGAAGTAAGTTGACATTTCTCAAAATATTTTTTATTTATTATTTTGGCAAAAGTTAAACGCTTCCACTAGCAGCTAGCTAGCTTAGCTTAGGACAAAGACAAGTAAAAGCTTGTTGGGTTTTGTTCACATGCAACAAAAACACGACAGCCCTCATTCTGTGACTTGTTTCTTTCCTGAAAAGTCTTTAAAGGCAGATTTATACCTTTTTTGTGTTAAAGGACTTTCCTTTGTTTCAAGTGCTAAGCTAAGTTGCTAGCAATAGCTTCATATTTATCCTATAGTTGAGATAAATATTGTGACTATGACCACTTGTTAATCTTTAGAGAACGTTTAAAGTTTGAGATGTTTTTTTTTTTACTATAACCTTCATATTTACTATCATTTGTAAAGAAAATACAGTTTGTTTGGTGACCTGTTTAGTTAGTTTAATCTGATGATGTTTCAGTTCCACTCTGTGTTCGTTATATCAGTGATTCCCAACCCTGGTCCTCGAGGAACACTATCCTGCATGTTTAAGTTTTTCCCCTGCTCCAACACACCTGATTCAGTGATTTGATTACTTTCTCAAGTTCTGCAGGAGCCTGTAAATCACCCATTTATTCAAATCAGGTGAGTCAAAGCAGGGAAACAACTAAAACATGCAGGGTGGCGTTCCTCAAGGACCAGAGTTGGGAACCATTGCTTTATATTCTCAGGAAAGGTCTAACAGTTGTTTTTAAGCCCATTGGGTTCCTTTTATGTTTATTTTTTGCTCCTATTGAACTACTGAGGGTTTAGTTTAGTCTTTATATATACCAGTTAAATGTTTAGCAGGTTGACTTCAGTTTGATGAATTTATAAGTTTTGAAGTGAAGCACACGCAGCATTTAGGGATTTAAACTCATCGGACAAACATTCCAGATCAGCAGTGTAAAGACGAAAAGTCAAAGAAAACCAATACAGGTTTGACAAACAGTAAATGGTAGTAAAATTTGTTGTAGGTGGTTAAAGTTTTGTATGAAGTGATGGATGTTTCCCTCCTCTTTGGCATTTTCTCCCACTCACCCCTACATGTAAATGACTGCTTGTTTCTGAAGTCCAGGCCTTCCAGTCGTGTGTCATTTTGTGGCTGTTGGTGTAACCATGACTCAGTGTAACATAAAAGAAAATAGAATATTAAATTGAAGCCAATTATATTATTTATAGAGTGAGCTATGACAAGAGGAGACATTATGTGTAGCCCTAGTGAAGATTTGTGCATTATTAGAGCCATTTTGACTTCAGAAAGAAGATTTTTGGTCTTTTGTGAGAACATCATCATTCAATAGATGGTTATTCTAGTAAAATACAGTATTAGACTCGGAACAGGTGTGAAAATATGTATTTGAATGCTCATTGTTTCAAAAATTTGTGAGTTGTCTTGTCTGACTGTGATGATGTTGTATTTAACAAGCTTGTTTCTTGTTTTTACTCTTCGGTTTTAATTTTTGACCAACCAGTTTGTTTTTCCTGTGTATTTTGAACAATGTGTGAATGAAACTGAAGCACATGTTCGTTGTGTCTTCCCACGGCTGAGGTTAAACTGTTTAAATGATAAATCTGTCAAGGATTAAATGTTTGTACTATTTATTGAGATTTGGTGCAAACTACATTAAAGGTGAATTTAATGTGCAGCAATACTAACGTTGTTCTACAGAAAAGAATGGGGCTCAACACAAAGGTGGCTTCAGGGAATATTAAAGCTCAAGTTATTTTAAGTGAGGTTCTGTGGAGAATTTATGAACAATTAATATCTTACCTGCTGTAAATACCTCTTTGCTTCAGTTTGGAGAAATTTAGTTTAATTCTGACAACTGGTAAGCGAACTGCTCCAAGAAAGCCACGACCCAAATGAATCCATGCCGCCTTAAAGCAACACTAGAATTAAAACTCTTACAGCTGTTCATGCAAAGTCAGTTTTATAAACCTTTAGGTTGCAGTCTGGTTACACGGTTATTCCTGTAGAAGTATCATGATATTCCTGACAGTAGTGCCCCGTTGCTGTTATTTCTCTTCACAAATCACCATAAAATTCGATGTAAAAAATGAAACAGGCATTCTTTAAACAAATGTGTTTCACTGCCATATAAAAACCTTTAAAGCTTGCCTGAACTGTTAGTGCTTGAAGTAAGAGTTGGGGATGGCTCTCAACTACTGCCACACCAAATTTGAGCTCAATATGTGTAAAATTGACTGAATTATACCCATTTTTGTGTTTTCTACGATTAATTAATTAATAGTTGTAGGATTGTTAATTAGCTGTAAATGTTTATCAAATGATTACTTGAGTTTCATTAAACTCTGTTCACCTGTAATACCCGTATAATTTAAAACTGATTGTGACGTACAGGTTCATAAAATATCGTTTGCATGAACAGTTGTGAAATTTTTCAGATCATTGATTTCAAACAGCAGCCACACAGCTTGGGCTTGGCTCAGACTAATGTTTGCTCCTCAGTCCGGTCAGAATTAAACCCTCGTTCTCCAGACTGAAGATGTTTAAAAAGTCATCTACAACAAGTAAGATGCTGATTGATCATAACTTTTCCACTAAACCCCACTTCAAAATATTTGAACAGTTTGAACAGTTTCAAGTGTAAAATGAAAAATAAGCCGTTTTCAAGTGAAACTGCAAGTTAGCCGTTTTGAGTGCGTAACATTTTCACCAGCAGATGCACATACAGTAGGTAATACTCGGGCAACTACACATCTGTCCGTCTCATGGTAAATCTGATACTTTTTGTACATTTAGTGTGAATTGTTGCACAAAAACTCATACAGTAAAATCATGCAAATGACAGCAGTGTATTCGCTGCAGCTCAGTGGACATTTATTTTCATTTCATGTATCAAAGCTTCTGAAACTTCCACATGTTCACACAAGCACTGTGTGTAGTATGAAACGTATTATCATGTACTATAACGTAAGTACTTATGAGTATATAATTACATGAGGTAATATATTTGCCATGGATCACATTCAGTAGGAACATGCTGTATTTGGGTGAAATAAATATTTGCAAGGGGCTGTGACTCAGTAAGTGATGTAAATGAGGAATACATTTTTGCATATTTTGTTTCATTTGTTCTTGTCCTTATACACTGAACAAAAATATAAATACAACACTTTTTTTGCTCCCATTTTTTTATGATCTGAACTGAAAGATCTAAGACTTTTTCTATGTACCACTACACAAAAGACCTTTTAAAAGGTGTTAGTGAGCACTTCTCCTTTGCTGAGATAATCCCTCCACCTCACAGCTGTGGATGGTCAAGATGCTGCTCAGACAGCATGATTACTGCACAGGTGTGCATTAGGCTGACCACAATAAAAGGCCACTCTAAAATGTGCAGTTTTACTGTATTGGGAGGGTCCGGAGGGATAAAAAAAAAAAACAGTATCTGGTGTGACCACCATTTGCCTCATGCAGAACAACACATCTTCACATAGAGTTGATCAGGTTGTTGATTGTGGAACGTCGGCCCACTCCTCTTCAATGGCTGTGGGAAGTTGCTGGATATTGTCAGGAACTGGAACACGCTGTTGTATACACTGAACCAGAGCATCCTGAACATCCTCAATGGGTGACAGGTCCGGTGAATATGCAGGTCATGCAAGAACTGGGATGGTTTTATCTTCCAGGAATTGTGTACAGATCCTTACAGCATGGAGCCGTTCATCATCCTGCTGCATCATGAGGTGATGGTCGTGGATGAATGGCACAATGGACCTCAGGATTTCATCACGGTATCTCTGCATTCAAAATGAGATCAATAAAATGCAACTGTGTTTGTTCATACCATAACTCCACCACCACCATGCACCATTGGATTCACAACGTTGACGTCAGCAAACCTCTCATCCACGTCATCATACATGTAGTATGCCCTCTGCTCTGTACAGTGAAAACCAGGATTCATCTGTGAAGAGAACACCTCTCCAACGTGCCAAACACCATCGAATGTGAACAATTTCCCACTCAAAATGGTTACGATGAACCGCAGTCATGAGGAGACCCTGATGCAGATGATGATCAAGCAGAGGAGCTCCTCTGAGACGTTTCTCACAGTTTGTGCAGAAATTCTTTGGTTATGCAAACTGACTGTTGCAGCAGCTGTCCAGGTGACTGGTCTCAGATGATCTTGGAGGTGAAGATGCTGGATGTGGAGGTCCTGGGCTGGTGTGGTTACACGTGGTCTGTGGTTGTGAGGCCATTGGATGTACTGCGGCTGTGGCTGAGTGGTTAGAGCAGTCCTCTTCTAATGCGAGAGTTCAGGGTTCGAATCCACCAACAGTCACATTCTAAAGTGTTCCTGGGCAAGACACTGAACCCCTCATAGCCTCTGATGTGTCCCATCAGTGTATGAATGTGATAAAGCTCTGATTAGTCTCTTTAGAATGATTTGTTCAATTAGCTTTGTAGAGATCTAGCAGAGTGCTGTATGAATGAGTAAATGAGGCACAGGTTGTAAAGTGCTTTGAGTATCTTGAAATAAGATAGAAAGGCGCTTTATAAGTACAATTTACTGCCAAATTCTCTGAAACACCTTTGGAGACAAACATTCAGTTCATGAGCAGCAGCTGTGGTGGACATTCCTGCAGTCAGCATGCCAACTGCTGCTCCCTCAAAACTTCAGCACGTGTCATCGTGCTGTGAAATAAAACTTTGTTTTAGAGTGGCCCTTTATTGCGGTCAGCCTAAGGCACGCCTGTGCAATAATCAGCATCTTGATCAGCCACAACTGTGAGGTGGATGGATTATCTCAGCAAAGGAGAAGTGCTCACTAACACAGATTTACACAAATGGTGAACAATATATGAGAGAAAATGACCTTTTGTGTTCATATAGAAACAAATTCAAATTTTTGAGATCAACTCATGAAAAATGGGAGCAAAACCAAAGTGTTGTGTTTATATTTGTGTTCAGTGTAGATATGAAATAGTTCTTGTTGCAACTTGCTTTGTTCCTTTTAGAAATGAAAAACAAGGCTAGTCTATTTCTGGGGTCCTGCTGCTGCAGCTTTATGAAGCTTTGATGGAAAACTACAATGAAATGTAATTTAATTGGTTTCTACACCCACAACAGTTGAGCAATTTATCTGCAAATGTGTGAATATTAATACAAGAAGCGAAGCACGATCAGATTTAACTACTTCATTTGTCTGACGTTGAGCCTTACAGGGGGCTCAATCTTTCAAATCCACCAGAAATTATTTGGAAAACTTTCAGGACTGGATGTGAAATACAGAATATAAATATGTTGAGTCAGTTTAGTAACAATAAGAATTATAAAAATAAAACCTAAGTCAAAGTAAATAAAAGAATTTGACTAATTCAATAAGTCAACATTATCAGCAATCTAATTTTTATAAGCATGTAAAATTTACTTAATTAAATTACTTACGTGGTATAGTTAAATTTTCCACAAATAAAATAAATGTCATAGGCGTACAAAGTTCAGTGTTTCACTTGTTATCAAAACTGGTAAAAACTATTAACCTTTTTAATTCTTTACATGAATATAGTCTTTGTCTTTTGTCCTAAAAGGGAAAAATATGAATGTTAAAATTTGTTATTTATTTTTGGCCAGAAAAAACCCCCCTCCAACAAACTAAAGTGGCCCATGGGCCACCAGTTGATAATAATAGTTATAGCAGGTTTTGTTGCTCCGGGCACATTTAGTGAGCGAAGGAGCAGAAATGGCTCGATTTAAAGAACAGGTTGCAGAGCCCTGGTCCATTTAGACTTAACATTTAAATGTTTCTATTTAACCAGTATTTAACCTTCATATCTAAAATGGGGCGGCTGTGGCTGAGTGGTTAGAGCAGTCGTCCTCCAGTGCAAGAGTTGGGGGTTTGATTCTACCAGCAGTCACATGCCAAAGTGTCCCTGGGCAAGACACTGAACCCCTCATTGCCTCTGATGTGTGTTCCATCAGTTTATGAATGTGATAAAGCTCTGATTATTCTTTGTATAGATCTAGTAGAGTGCTGTATGAATGGGTAACTGAGGCACAGATTGTTGTAAAGAGCTCTGAGTATCTCGATAAGATAGAAAGGAGCTACATCAGTGCAGTCTATGCAAAACTAGATCTCGCTGCGTGGAGGTCTCGACTAAAACCTGCAGAAATAATCAAATTTAATGTGTCAAAGATGCATTTTAACAACCGGAGGCAAAACTTTAAATGTGCTTTTCATGGAATTTATTGTTTTAGAGTCGTTCCCACAAGTCAAACAAAATCATATTAAATTTTTATTTTCCGATTTATTATTTACGGTATATTTTATGTCACATGATCAGTTTTTCACAAATTTCAGGCTAATTTTTGGTAGAAATATATTAAAACCTCACAGAAGCATCAGATGTTTAAACATGAATAAAATCATCTTTTCCACATAAAATCTTTCAACACTGACGAGGCTCAGTGTAATTAGTCAATTTAATTTAGTGTATGCGGTCACTCCAGTTAAATCATTTCAAAGACATCCAGCATAAATCCAGTGGATGTTTTAGATTGAAGCAGCTTTAGGCATTTCTCTCTCCGTTTTGTTCTAAAACTGTGGAGATAAGACGCCGAGGCCGATGCACATCAAGAACCTTAACATTATCGTGCACACAAGACAACGAAGATGTTACTTTAAAATTCTTTATTCATAAACTTGATGCAAGTTTACAAATTACTGTACATGGTCAAAGTTTCTTCAAATGGAAAAATGAAACAGAAATCAAAGTGAGCCAACAAAACAACAAAATAAAAACAAATCACGACTCAATCATCTGTTGGTGTCGAAACATGAACTGATAATTGAGTTATTGATTTTTGTTCCCAACACGCAGTCCAGTTAGAGAGTGAGTAAAGGGTCTTTTACGTTCCTGTGATCAGTTTTTCAGAGGCTTCCTTCTGGATAAGACTCTGCAGCACAAACGTTAAAGGGTAAGAATCCTAAAATATTTACGGAGTAAATTTTCTGTTCCGAACACCGACCTGTCGTCAGTCGGCCACTTCCTGACAAGGATACTTAAAACAATCCCCTCAAATCTATGCAAGACGTGTAACAGCAGAACACGAAGCGAGTGCACACAAACCTTTCCTGACTGACAATGTTCAGCTCGCGTGTCCCTGGATCCAACGATGCAAACTGTTTACACTAAAACTGGGAGTAAACAAACACTGATGCTGAGGTCGTCGTGCTACTGCACCTCGTTTTATTCCTGGAAACTTCTCCTTCCATCATCTGATTTACAAATAAAGAGAGACAACTAACGATACTGAAGAGCTCGCTTCATTTTCAGACATCAGATCAGGGTGAAGGAGTCGACGAGCGCAGATTAATCCCAAAACATCACAAACGTCTAAACACAACGTCCTCCTGTTATTGATTACCTGAGTTGCCGTTCAGACATACTTTTGCAGGCGGTGCTGACAAACTGCAAAAGAGCCGTCAGATACAGTGTGTGTCCTGTTGGGGGGGGGGGGGGGGGGGCAGCTCAGGGTACCACAGTATATTGCATTATCAAGGTTACCGTGCAGTTTGAGTTTTCATCCCACTACAAGTGATCCCTCCTGAATGGTAACACTACTGATGTATACGATGGACTGTAGCGGCAGAGACGGTTTAAACAGTGGGCGCTAACGTTCACCTACATGTGCGGCTTTTAATGCAACCGTTTTCATAAGAAACCTGGAATTTTTAATTCTCTTTAAATCACAGAAAGGCTTCAGAAGTTGTGATTGATCCAAAGGATGAGGTAAGAAAAAAAAAAAAAAAAAAGGTCTCATCCCATTTTAGAACACATTACAGGAGAAAAACAAAAAAACTTCACGGGCTCTGATTCTTAAATCTGTTTGTTTATGAGTTCCACCGATGTCAACACTGTACTCCATAAACTAAAGTTGACATTTTTAATTTCCTGCAACCAAAACGAAGCGTCGTCTGCAACACTTTAAGGTTGTCGGAGTCATTATCCACGCTAAGTGTTGGGAACCCTCTTAGTTTCTCATCAAAGCGCTCCAGTCGGCCAGTTGTGATGTGATTTAGTCACGAGGAGGAACGGGGCGACCTCACCGCTTTAATTAGCGGCAGAGCAGGAGGTGGCGCTGCAGAACATTAATGATGTAATCCAGTTTTAGGCCCATTTAAAACAGCCACCCTGTCAGAAAGATGGCATGTCACTGTCACTATACGATGAGGAACACGTCTGTCCCGTCACTTCTGTTTGACACTTACTGACGTCTAATTATTGAACAGGCGAGACAAGACGCCCGCAAAACATGCTGCTAGCTTCAAGGTCAAAGGGCTTTAGGGTCAGCGTCCAACCAGCAACCTCCTAAAAATCAACAGATGGACCAACAGAACTTTCAGGACGGTGATTAAATAAAATTGAGGAAGAAAAAAAAAAAAAAAAAACCATTTGAGCTTCAATGTTAAAATGTCACAACACATCTGACAAAAATATTTTTTCCATTCTTGATTTGTTAGTAAGCTGATGTTCGTTCAGAACTGCAGGTTTGAATTTGTGGCCAAATGTTCTGTAAATGTTTTAATAAGAACTAAAAGATTGTGAGCAGTAGGTCATTTTAATTTACAGATAAACGTCCAACATGAGGAATTGGCTTCTTTTTATTGCCTTGGATGTTCAAATAACAACAACAAAATCAAACAAAATGTCTCATATATGCATTTATGTACCTGTTCAGTTTTAAAGAAAAAAAAAAATCACAGTCAATTAAAAGCAGGTGCAACGGGGGTGCCTTTTCAAGAGCTTCAGTATGGATCCTTTAAAATTCCCATGAAACGAGGGGAAACCTGACCGCGGGGGTCACTGTGTCGGAGCAGCTAAACAACAAGGATTTCCCCACATCTACAGGGTAGAAAATCTGTTTGTGTTCTTTCCTTCTTGTTCCAAAAAAAGACCAACAAGCTTTTTTTTTTTTTTTTTAAAGAAAAACAGGACAACAAGTGTTACCCTCACGTTCGGGGCGAAGTGAGACCAGAGTTGAGTCTTTCCTGGAGCCGAGCGACAGTGCTGGGGAGAAGCCAGCGAGATGTTTCCGTGAGAAAGACGATGTATTCCCAGTGGGGAGGAGAAAATATTCCGAAGAAAACAAGATGACCCAAAGACGTGTTCCCAGTGCAAAGTGGAGGCAGCTCCTTACCCGTCTTCTTTGGGAGGTGTGTACCAGCCTGGACGAGCAAACAAACATCTCTGTTCATAGTTTTTATTTTAATAAATATGTTAATTACAAAAACTCTGAAAACTGTAACTCACCGTTCTTTTCGTGAATCTGCACCAGGGATTTGTACGACTGTTGTGCTCTGGCAAGATTGTACTGATTCTACAATACAAGAGATACATTTAAGTATTAAAATACTGGTTTAAACGTGTTCCTTGGAGCTCAGACTTGTAGTTTTTATTTCTAAACTTACACTGTTCCACTGAACTGAGCTAATTTTTGACTCAACTCTCCAAAAAGAAGAAGAGTGATGAAAACATGCAGCTGTTACAGACAGTCCGAGTTGTTTTCCAGACACTGAGCTGTTAACAGATCATTAAAACAAGAGGCCGAAGGGCGTTACCTTATTGGCTCCAAACTGCACCCTGGCTTTGCCTTTAACCAGAGTTGCATTTATCTGCATAATGACAGATTCTATTGAATAGGCACTGCTCCAGCCCTGAAACACACAAACAAATAAAACCAAGCTCACACACCCGTGACAGATAACAAAACTGACGCAGGTTGCATGTACTCGTGCACGTACCTGTTTTGTGAGAAGTTCCATGCACAAGGCTCCTCCTCCCAGCACATACCTGAAACAAATGAACAGAAAACACAGAGGATGGAGTTGCAACCACCGCACAACTCACATTCATTACACTTAATGCTTATTTATTGCTAAATGAAAATCTTTGCCTTTGTTTGTTTTTTTCTAAAAAAAAACAATGTAGATAAGCAAAAGCACAGAAAAAATCTGGGTAACACTAATTTGAAAAATAACTTGTTTTTGTGTTTAAAGTCTATAATTAATATAAATTAAAATAAAAATCATAATCTGAGTGTTGCAGTGCCTGTTTCTGCCATCATAGTTTATTTTGAAAGGACAATAAAGTGGAATCAATGGTCACAGGTGAGCTCAGCTACTGAGCCACAGTACCTGTCCCCTGCCCCCAGCAGCACATGTCTCTGCACCTGTAGCCTCTGGTTCTTTGGAGTAAACTTAAACTAGGGCTGGGCCATATCATGCCGTTCACGATAATACCGGTAAAAAAGCTTGCCCGGGAAAATAAATGATATCATATGTTAATTTCATTACGTAATACGTCAGGGTGCCCCGCCCCGTTAACAGAACTGAGCGTGCCGAACGACCAAACCGAACTGCGCACCCCCCCTCCACCTGTAGGTACTGGCGTAACGCTAATTAGTTGCACGCAATACTAGCTAGCTAAAAAGCTAAAAACAAACAACCGTGTGGCTCAGCTGTCTCTCTACCCAGCTCTAAACTGCAGGTACAGACAGCTCAACTGTCTCCCCCCAGTAAAATTAACCCTTGTTTTTACATTTTTATATAATACTGCAAAGCAATGTGTTAAGTTAATTTTGTCAAATGAATAACTATGATTTCTGTGGGAGTTGTTTTTTTTTTTGTGGTTATATCATGAAATTCATCGTTCTCGTCAGAATGCTCTGAAATATCACGATATTATATTTGAGCCATATCGCCCACCCCTAACTTGAACTCACTAAGAGTTTCAACTGTGAGGACACCTTTTAAGCAAAAGACATGAAACTGGCAACTGTCCTGAATCCTAAAGTGGCTGCTGAGATAAAAGTTTGTTGTCCTGTTGACACTTGTGCTGCATTAATTTGGCCTGCATGAGTGAAGGATGAAACCAGCACAAGTTGAATCCTAAAGTGGATCCTGCTCTTGTGTTTGAAGTGGTGGCTGACAGGTGGATGGAGGGAGAACAGGACAGTAAGCGAGGTGGAGTTAATATTCCAAAAAAACCTCAATAATCAGCAACAAATCTGAAGTGTTCTTACTTAAGATGCTCACCCCAGTCATAAGCTAAACCACATATAATGTACTCATTAGAAACTGAAGGATTTGAGCTGATTTGTAAGAAACCAGTGAAAAGTATCTGCGTAATAATCATAACTTACCCTGCCCAAAGAGAGCCAGCTAATGTGCAACTTAAAATGTAAATATGTTCCAACAAAGTCAGAGGAAGGCTTAAAGCTTGTGTGCACTAATGAATCTAGTTGTAGTGATATATGCAAGTCGTGCACGGGGAAATTACTACACTCACCCTCCAGAGAGCACAGGTGAGACGACCCGTACAAAAGGTGGGTCGAAAGGAAAATTATCCTGTCAAACAGAAACACACAAATAAAAACTCTGCTTATTAAAACAATTCCACATTTCCTGGAAAAATCCCCCAACGTTTCCTCTTAACTCACTTTATAAAAGAAATTGAGCAGAATGAACTCCACTCCTTCTTTTTCTTTTAAAACCTGCAGGTCACTATGTAACGGACTATCTGGGTCTACCCTGAAAACACAAGGACGAGTCGAAATCAACAGTTTGCAACATTTCAAGGAAGGAAATGTTTCAGGAATAAGAACTCACTTCTTTAACTTGACGTGCCACTCATAAAGGCTGTCATTGACTAGTTCCACTGAATAAATACCTGAGAGACAAGGAATAAGAACAGATTTTATTTGACCAGCTGATGGAACAATTAAAAACAATAAAGTAATAATCATATAATCATAGAGAGATGATCCTGGTTGTCACCTGTCTTGTAACTCTGTGACCTGTAGATCTCCCTGAGCTCCTTCATTAGACGATCTGAGGCTTGCACTGAACCGGAGACAGCACCCTACAGCAGAGATCAGAAAAAGATCCATCACCGAGAAACAGGCAGTCAGGATTTTGAGTTGTATCTGACTGAGTCAAAAAGTTCAGACAGAAGAAACCTTCTACAGTCACCAAGTTTAATCAAGAATCAAATAAACAGAAGGGACGTTTACGTTCAAGTGGTCTTGTCTCTGGTTTTTACGTATTTTTTCCAAGACGGCCAGATTTTCTTTCTCTATTCCATCATCTTCTGACTTTTTGCCTTCTGCTGGTTCCTCTTCTTTCATGTCGTAATGGTCCAGGTCTTGGTCCAAGTCTATGTCCTGCTGCCACAGTTCAAGCAGTAAGTTTAGAAAGAACATAAACAAACTGGATAAATATGGATCTAATGGACTGTCAGAAACACACACCTCTCCCATTTCTTCCTCCTCCTCCTCTTCAGACGTCACCTCATCCGATGGCCCATGCTGCAGCGGGATTAAACATCCAATCAAAAACAATCATGAGGCTCTGGGTGTGAAAATCAGAGACTGAGCTCTTGTTTCCGGTGCCTACCTTTCGCTCCTGGGTAATTGGGCCAGCAGGTAGAGGCTGGTCCAGCATTTCCACATCTGGATGTTGTGGCAGGTTATAAAGACGACAGAGGTCACAAATGAGGCGCTTCAGCTGCTGAAGAAGCTAAAAACAACATCAGGGGAACAGACTGTTAATATATAGAGAATAAACTACACCGCAGTGATGAAGAAAAATATTAAGCGTCATTCTGATTTGGATCATTCCCACCAAAATGTCAAAAACACAAAATTCACAAAATAAAATGCTAACTTATTCAACAGAATAAATATAGTAAATAAAAGATGGAGGAGTCGTCATGTTTCTGCCTCTGTGGGATCCTTAATGAAGCAACGTACCAACGTGCTGCCTTTCCTCACATCCTCCAGGCGCTCCAACACTTCAGCCAGACTAGGATCATCCGAGTCCACAAACCATATGGGTGGTGTTGAGGGGTAGGACTCCTAAAACAGAGGGAACAAGAAGTCATTGAGCTGCCTGAGCGTTAAGGCCTTCATTGTTTACAAGTTGTGTTTTTCATTAGGTCCTGCTGCTTTTCAGAGACCGAAACACCATCCTGACGCAAAGACGGCACTTACATTAAAACCTTGAAAGTTTATTCCAGTCCTACACATGCCCAACATTTTTCAGTCAGGTCATCTGGACAGTTTCTTTTTTTTGTGCTGAACCGTTTCGCCTTCGATCCAGAAGGCTTCATCAGTCAAGGAAACACACAACTAAACTGATTCTTCCCCCAACAGCTTACTCCAAAGTGGAACAAACCAGTTCTGCTTGTGATTAGATGGTCTCTTTGGTACGCCCCCTCCTCCATTGTCGGCCCTCTTCCTTGTTGACTGTCTTGTCAAACTGGTTCAGAAACTGTCCAGATGACCTGACTGAAAAATATTGGATTTTATACCTGGATTATCGAGCATGGACTTTGTTGTTTAGTCCTACACATGGTTTCAAACCCAAGAAGGTGAAACAACCACACCTGCCTTCACTTTCTTTTGCCCCACCCTGGGCCCATGGGCAAGGCCCTTAACCCACCCAGCTGCCCCCCAGGCGCCTTAGATGGCAGCTAACTGCTTCACATGTCAGAGTCAGAGATTCTTTATTGTCACTCCACCTCATGTGGTGGAGTGACAATATGTACACAGGGTCCCAGTTTCATCCAAAAAAACAAATGTAAAATAAAAACAGTGATAAGATCTAAGATATGAACTAAGAAAAACAAACTAAATATACACTAAGCACTAATAGCATAAAAAACATTAGCATCAAACATCAGCACGAACATGAACATGAGTCTGTGTGAGCAAATGAGCACGCATGAACACATCAACAAGAAACAGGTGGAGGTGGAACATTGAAACAGATCAGCAGCAACATGAAACAGATCAGCAGCAACATGATGTGATTTTTCACAATGATTGTTCTGGTTAGAGATTCTTGAGTCTAACAGCCTCAGGGTAGAAGCTGTTCCTCAGTCTAGTGGTTCTACACTTAATGCTCCTCAACCTCCTTCCTGAGGGGATTGGGGCAAAAAGTGTGTGTGCTGGGTGAGTGAGGTCCTTCATGATGCAGGTGGCTCTCTTCCTGCATCTGGAGGTGTAGATGTCTGTGATGGTGGGGAAACTGACTCCAACATCTTCTGTGCAGCCTTCACCACTCTCTGCAAAGCTTTTCTTTCTGCAGCTGTGCAGCCTCCATGCCACACGTTGATGCTGGAGCACAGGATGCTCTCCACTGCACACCTGTAGAAGGAGGTGAGGACTGAGCTTCCCAGAGCCGTCTGAGGAAGTAGAGTCTGATGAGCTTTCTTGATCAGGCTGGTGGTGTTGTTGCTCCAGCTGAGGTTGTCATTCATGTGTACACCCAAGTACTTGTAGCTGGAGACCACTTCCACCGCAGATCCTCTTATGTTCAGGGGGGTGTAGGTGTGTTTGTTCCTTCTGAAGTCCACAATCATTTCCTTTGTCTTCTTCACATTGATGTGAAGGTTATTCTCTCTGCACCAGCTCTCCAGGTGTTCCACCTCTTGCCTGTAGATGGACTCATCATTGTTTGTGGTGCATCCCACCACCGCTGTATCATCTGCAAACTTTACAATGTGACAGCCTGGATGGGTAGCTGCACAATCATATGTGAGCAGAGTAAACAGGAGGGGCCTCAACACACATCCCTGAGGAGAGCCAGTGCTGAGGGTTATGGTGGAGGAGGAGAAGTTGTGGATCCTCACTAACTGTGGTCTGTTTGTTAAGAAGTCTAGTACCCAGTTGCAAATGGAGGGGCTTAGTCCTAGTGTGGATAGTTTGTCCATCAGGGTTTGGGGGATCATGGTGTTGAAGGAGGATGTGAAGTCCACAAAGAGCATATGGACGTAAGAGTTTTTCTGCTCCAGATGGTTGAGAGCGGTGTGGACCACAGAGGAGATGACATCCTCTGTTGATTGGTTCTCGCGGTATGCGTACTGATGAGGGTCCTCGTTGATGTTGATTTGATGTGAGTCATGACCAGTTTTTCGAAGCATTTAGTGACTATCGGGGTGAGGGCCACTGGCCGATATGTGTGTGCTCACATGTGCAATGGGAAAAATGCAGAGAATTAATTTTCCCATTGGGGATTAATAGAGTACAATAATATAAAATACAAATAAAAATGTCTCAGCCCACATAGCCACCCATTTTACAAAATGATCCATCTTCTGTCAGCTGCGGAGCAAGAACACATCGAGCAGCACAAACGACAGGAGGCTCTGAAGCTTTTTTAGATCTTAAACCAAATGTCAGGTCGCAGGTGAACTTCAGTTCATGCTTTGTAAGATGGAAGAAATGCTACGTAAAAGCAACAAGCGAGCATGTAATTATTGTAGCTTAAATATAATCTGAACATAGCAGCACATGTTGGAGGCAACCTCCCCATCACAAACATCTACACCTCCAGATGCAGGAAGAGGGCCACCTGCATCATCAAGGACCTCACTCACCCAGCACACACACTTTTGCCCCACTCCCCTCAGGAAGGAGGTTGAGGAGCATTAAGTGTAGAACCACTAGACTGAGGAACAGCTTCTACCCTGAGGCTGTTAGACTCATGAACCTCTAACTAGAATAATCACTGTGAAAAAAAAAATCACTGTAATGCCACTTTGTTGATATGTGCTGCTGATTGTCCATTCTGCTGATCTTATGCTGCTGATTATTTCATGCTGCTGTGTTCATTTATACTCATCTGCTCACACTGACTCATGTTCATGCTGCTGTTGTTCAGCGTATTGTTTTTGCACTACTGTTTAGCATATTTCTTAGTTCATATCTTACATCTTATTACTGTTTTTTGTTACAATTTATACTTTTATTGGATGTAACTGGGACACTGTGTACATAGTTTTGTTCCACCTCATGTACCACATGAGGTGGAACAATGTCAAATAAAGAACTTAGACATGAAATTAGATTCTAACAACTAACAAAAGTTATAATAATTGTTGTATTAAAAAATAATTACCAAAAACTATATTTTAGGTGAACTGTAATGCACTTGTTTCATCAGAGAGGATTTAACGAATGCATGTGAGGATTTTGCGCTGCACTTCAAACAAAACAAACATGTCGACAGGCGTCACTTGAACCCTGGGACCCTGAGATTCGGTGCCAACAGCTACAGCTGATGCGATCAGAAGTGGTCAGCTATAGACTCGAGTTCACACCTGATTCTAAAAGGCAACACACGTGTCAAAGGTTCAGCCAGAAGCTGGTGACAGCTACCGGTTGTGCGTGGAAATAAACATGCAGACAACATTAGTCATCTGAGCAACAAGCAGGTTTTACTAATGACTTGAACATCCATGAACTCATTCGTTCAGAAATATTGCCTTTGCTGAAGCTCTGCAGGTTCTGCTATAATGAATAAAACACCCGCGGGGACTATTAAAAACTGTACTCTTGTGGTGTTGAAGATTTTCTTTAACAACCCTGTGCACTCCAACACATAAAGACAGGCTTGGTTTCTGTAAAAAACACTTGACATTAACCAAAACGTGTGTTTGTAAATGAAGTAAAACAAATTATGGTACTTAAAAATGGACAGGTTGAAGTAAAAACAGCAATGCTGCTTCAAACTACAAGAAATGCTCATTATTGAAAACAGTTAAATGAATAAAAGTGATTCCACCCAATTAGGTTACAAAAAAACCATTTGATTAATGTCTAAATCCAAATTCAATACATTTCTGTCAGTTCTTTGTTTTACCTTAACATTTATTCAAATTTAACATCAAAAACTAAATTGTAATTAACCTAAATCTTTGAAACAGATCAATGAGGGGAAAAAGATGAAGTGTGGCTGCCTTCTTCAGATGAGGAACAGACAACGATTGGTTCTGCTGTAAATGTGTGAAGCCTGGTTGGATCCAGAACTTTAGGCACCGAGCTCACAACTTAGTTTACATGCACTGCAGATAAAAGGCCAGGCAGCAAGTTTATTTGATTTTTTATGATATTTGGTAAATGGATATGCTTCAGTTTAGGGTTAAGTAGGAAAACAAAAGAGAAATCTCTGTAGTAAGAACTGCACGTGTTCACATAATCCAGTGATAATCCATCAGAATAAACAGTTCGTGTGTTTACGGTTTCAGTGACTATGTCCAATAATTCTCATTTATCACTGCAAAGCAATGTTTTAGCTACAAGCTGGGAAAACATCAACCTCAAACTGTTGAGGTAAGCTTAACAAAAAGGATTACATCACATCGGTAATAAGAACCAATTCAAATATTTATCAGTTATATCTTTTATAATTCTACATTGTGAAGTGTTTTATTTCTGTATATCTGCAGGAGAAACTTAATACGCCTTCTAATGTGTTTGTTGTTAATTTGGGTAAATAATATAAATACAACTTTATTTTGCTGAGAATAAAGTGGGTAAAATTGAAACCGTCTATAATACTGAAAATATTGTTGGGATAACATCTGTGGTCAAATCAACACGTCTCTCAGCTGTTAGTGGGGTTTTACTTTTTCATCTGTGAACACTAGAGGAGATGGAAAACATCTACATGGAAACAAGAGTTTGAGTCAAATTGGATCAGCGGGTGCTCGGCACATACAGTAAAGGTGTCAAACCATGAGACAGACCTGAAGGGCCGAGTCTTAAAGCATCCTGAGAGCGTACGAACATGTTTTTAATGCTGTGCGTTTGTGATCAGACAGAGAAGTGGAGCTGGACTTTAAAACAACTTTCTCATATTTCATGCACCTACCTGCCACTACAGGTACTCGCTTAATAAAAATCAGACTGATTGACAAAAGCAAACTGCTGCCTTCATCTTCATCCGTAAGAGTTTAAACTGTTATCACTGTGGCTTTGGACGGACGGACAGTCTGCACAGACTCGACACACACTGTCCACAGAGGGTTGAGACTTCATACTCGAGCGTCCACCCTGAGCGGCTGCAGAGCAGCTCTGCAGGCAAGGGGCGTTTACCTTTGGGACAAATTGAGGTTGCTGATTGGTCATTTGCTGACACGCCGTCACCTACTGGATTGATTGACAGGTCACAAAAAAACGAGAGCTGGCAGCCCCAGCCGCAGCAGTGTTCTGTGTTTATATTTTGTTAATAAAAAGTAAAAAATAAAAAAAACAGGGGGCACTGACCCTGCAGCCCACACATCTGACCAGCCCACCAGGAAATCTCCAGATCCTCCTGCAGCCATGATGGACCTGATTTTAATTCGCTCGTGACAAATTCCTTCATTTCTCACCATTTCAGTCACGGCATCAACAGAGGAGGAAGAGATCGCTTGCCTCTTGAAAAAAATAAATAAATAAGAAAAGGCCATTAAACCAGACCACGGATGAAGAAGGGGAATTTAATACATTGGTGTCACATACAAAACAGTCCGTCGCCGGGCAGTTTATTGTGCGACACAGATTAGGCGGTCATAAAAATTGAGCTTTGCATGGACATGCCCTGTGGGCGTCCGCTTCGACTCTAACCTGGTACACGCGGACCGACGCGTGCCTGAGTATACTGGAGGCTTTAGTCTATGGCAGCTTAAGAAGCCAACCCTATAAAAAAAATTAAAAAAACCTGTGATAGCTCAATTTGGAAATATATTGATAATTTTCTGCTGGTAGAGCTGCTGCCTCTCAGCGAGCAGGTCCTTTGTTCAAACCCTGGTCCAGGGGCCTTTCTGGGTGGGGTTTGCATGTTCTCTCCGTGCATGCGTGGGTTTTCTCCCACAGACCAAAAACATGCATGTTAGGCTGATTGGTAACTTTAAATTGTCCCTAGGTGTGAGTGAGAGAGTGAATGGTTGTTTGTCTCTATGTGGCCCTGTGATGGACTTGCGACCCGTCCAGGGTGTACCCCGCCCCTCGCACAGTGATTGCTGGACATGGGCACCGACGACCCCCGTGACCCAAAATGGAAGAAGCGGGTCAAGATAATGGATGGATTTTCTGCTGCTTATCCATGGTCGAGTTAGAGGCAACAGGTCCAGGATGGGAAACCAGACATCCCTCTCCCCTGCAACACTCTTAACTCCTCCTGGGGTATCTCAAGGTGTTCACAGGCCAGACAGAATAAATGATTCAAGTTTGGGACTTGCCCCAGGGTCTCCTCCCAGATAGACGTACCTGGAAGGCGCCCAAGAAACCCAAACCTCCTCAGCTGACTCATTTTAATACACAGGAGCAGTGGTTCTACTTCAAGCTCCTCCTGGAGGACGGAGCTCCTCAGTCCATCTCTAAGGTCGTTTTCACACCAGATAGTCCAGTAGACTCGGTTCGGGACCAATATTCATGACCTTTTGTTACATTTGAGCTGGTGCGTTTGCATTCACACTGCACTGTGCAGTCGAGTCAACGTGTTGAAACAACCTGTTCCCCCGCTCGCCTGTGGGGGCGCTGCACCAAGAACTACTGAAAGAAACGACACAAAAACCTCTGAAGACACGTCTTCTTCTTCTTCTGTAAATAAAAGCAAAAACGAAGTGGCATCAAGTTTTAGCAGTTTTAGGAGTTATATTTTGTAATTTTTAAAAAATGGACTTAGCATGAGCAGAAGATGAGACAGAAGACCATGGAGAATGTTGTTTTTCACACAAGTCAGCTGACGGCTCCATATAAGGTCAGAGAAATGTGTGTTTGTTTACCCTACGGAGCGGTCCGGTCTGTTTACGTTCACACTGCACTCGAACCGCGCTGGAGTTCGCTTCTACCGGACCGAGACCTAGGTTTTAGCCCGGGCCAGAGTTCACCTTTTTGTTCCGTGACAGAGTTCGATGGCACGTTCACACCTCCCTAAACGAACCGGACTTTCTAGGAAAACGAGCTGGAGTTTGATTAAAGCGGACTAAACAGGGTTGGTGTGAATGCACCCTAAGACTGAGTCAGCCCCTTGCACCTGGGCTCTCATTCTTCTGGCCATGATCTACGCCTCAAGAGGTGAGAGCTGGAACGTACCGAGCACTTTTCTTTTCGGCTCGACTCTTTCTGCATCACAGCAGACCAGATCGACAGCCTCATTACTGAAAACGAGGCCCTAATCTTTCATCCTCATCACTTGTGAACTAGGTGATGTTCGAAAGCATAACACAAACAGGACAGACACTTTTAAGCTTATTTCAAGTTTAGACCAATACGCCACCATTTACCCGTGCTGCATTTCTACAGAAACACTTCAGAGCACCAGTGCAAACACCACAACTCTGACTTTCATCTAAATGTCATCCTAAAACAAGCTTGTTTGTGTCCCCAAACATGCGAGTGTGTTTCTGCAGAGAAAGAAGGATGTGGTCAGGATGTCACACGTTCTTCAACTGTACCACCTGAACCTTACAAAGACAGACCGCTAACAAAACTGTGCTTCACTTCTTGCATCGTTAATGTGTTGTGAGAGCTGGCGTGTATTTAAAATAAGTTTATGGCTGGAATACTTGAGTTTTAAACCACACCAATGTTTTTATACTTTGCTTCTATGGAGGTGGAATTTCCTGCAATCTGTTGAAGTGGTTTTATTAGTTTGAGACTTTCTGAAGGTCTTTCAGCATTTTATTTTATATTTTAACTTTTTGTTTCTTCTAAATTTCCATCAAGTTCTTGTACCTGATCATATTGTGCTGTATTTAAAAAACGAGGAAAATGGACAAGTGGAGGACAAAACATGACATGTCAGAATAAAAAAAGTAAAAATAACTGTAATAGAAAAAACTCAGCCAAAACCAGGCAAATGCTTCATCCTTCAGTGGATCACTTATTGTGTGACAAGTTTTCAATTAAGACCTCTTTAAGAATCATCTTGTTGGTGCCGATACACTATTTGGTGTCTGTCAGTGCTTATATTATTATTATTATTATTATTTTTATAGATTCAACTGCAAAATTGGGAACAAATTGTGTCTTTGCAACAAACTGCATGCAACAAACCAAGCAAAGATGCAATTTACAAATTGCTCAAGGCTCATCCCTTGAGTTTTGCCATATTATGTTTGAAGGCATCATAAGGCAGAGTATGTGGTTTAAATAAACGCACTCATTTGAAAATAGTCATGCTGGATTAAATATGAGTGGGGGGGGAGCACCAAATGTCCTTCAGAATGCACGAGTATTCACTAAGATGGGGGGGAAACGACCAAAATGACTCTTTTGGAGCAAAATAAGGAGAAAAAAAAAAGGACTCAAGGCTTTTTCACATTTGCTCATAACATACAATAATGATTGAGACTAAAACAGATGAGCATACAGAGCTAACGCTGGTGGCTTGGGACGGTTATTAATTAAATAAACCCATAAAAACATGTGGAAGTGCGTGTGTTACTCCTCATCCAAGCAGGATAGAGTCAGCTTAACCTGCGCGTTAATACGTGCCAAAAAGTTCATTACGGGGATCAGTCTATTTACTGAAAAGGTGGACAACATTCCATTAAACCGCCTGCGTTTAACGTTACGGATCACGAACTGTACGTCAAAAAATTACACACACACACACACACAAAAAAAAAAAAAAGAAAAAGAAGCTACGTCTTAAAAAATAATCACGACAAAGCTAAAGTGTCCCTGTTTTAAACCAGATCGTGTTGGTAGCCCCACAGACGCGTTTGAACGGTGATAAAGTCGGTGGTTGTAGTTCTGGAAGAAGTAACGCAGTTATTTTGGCTAACACAACAAGCTAGCGTCACTTTCAGTTAGCCGAGGCTACCGCCGCGTCGCTGCGTTTATTTTAAAAGTGAATACAGAACACGGGCTGTGTGCTGGCGTCCCCGGTGAGTTCGTTTCCTCTTCTTTGACGTGGCCGAGTGTGAAACGAAAACGCAAGCGAGTACTCCCGGTTCGGCAGCTGGACACGGGGCGCCCGCTCCGGTTCCAGGGGGTAGTCGGAGGTCGGAGCTGGCCTCCACTCACCGTGATGTTGCAGTGGATGATCAGCAGCTTCTCTCTCGTTACGTTGAACTGACAACTCAGCTCGTCGGGTTTCCAGTCTATTATTCGGAATCGCTCGTGGTTTGGGTCAAAGATTGACTCCAGAAACTTCAGTTCGGCCTTCAGCCCCGAAACCGACATCTTCAGCTCATCTCAAAGCGAGCAGGCCGCTGGCGGAGGGGAAGTCGGGGCGGAATGCGACCGCGCAGTCGAGTCGCCCGCTCGGATCTCGCACGTTAGCGTGAGAACAACAACAAAGAGCTGGAGCTTCATCCGACAGTCATCATCATGCTGGCCTGAGCAGAGACACCGCACCTCTGTCCACCAGCACGAGTTTTACTGTGCTGCTCCATCACTACTTATCATCAACACCATGTTATATTAGCTGGCTGTTCAGCCTGGGCTTGTCTTATTACAACACACAGTTTCTGTTGAATATTAAACATAGAGTCTGACTGATGTCACCCTGGTGTTACTGCTAGAGACAAGATCAAATGCATTCATATATATATATATATATATATATATATATATATATATA